TTTTGAGAAAGACACAATCATGTCATTTTGTCATTAATGCATATCATAATAGATTTTTGTTTCATTATCTCATTGGCAAGCTGGATCTATAGAACTAGATGTTCACGTGAATCTGGAGAAAACCCATAAGGTAGACAACAGATCCTAATCCTTGCCAATGCAAGTCATGGGATGGTACGCTACCCAGAAAGATGTTGGTGTCATATGGCTTGACCACCCATTCCTTAGAAATAATTTAAAAATGAGCATCCAAACATTGTACAGTGGAAAGACAGGATTAAGAGCAAAAATAAAAAATACCATGTATAGTCACCAAATAATTAAAGTAGGCCTATTCTGTTGAGGATACTTGGAGTGAAAGTCCATCACTACATACATGTATCTATATAGACTGTCAGTTCTGAAAATATCTATAAATTGACAAAAGTTTATGCCAAGGGGCTAGCTACATAATGATAATAGCTTATTCATGTCCAAGCATGAGTATAGAAGTTAAATGTAATGCAGATATAGAATTTTTGAAAGCATTCAGTAGAAAAGGGGTGTTTGTGTCCGAAAACACAGCCAATTAACAGTTCAGCTTTGCAAATGCAACCCCAACTGACAAACTGGGTTTGAATCCTTTACAAACTAAAATGTTGTGAAATTTAATCTCTTTTATAAACGAATATCGTTCAAAAATGGTTCAATTCTGTTCAGTATTTACAAATATGATGAAAGAAACATTTGTCAATATTCAGCAAATAATACAGGTGATATAAACAGTATATAGTTGAAACAATCCAGCCCAACTAAAATCTGTACTAAAGTTTGTTGATGTGCATGTTTTTAAATCCAACTGAATCCAAGCATTGATATTGTTGTATTACTTTCTTAATTATATGTGAGATGATCAATTTGAGTACATTTTAGCATGGATTAAGCCATGAAAAATTAGATATGGTCCGAGATATGGAAATGAGGATCAGCGGCTTTGTGATGGCATGTTTTAATGGTTGTAGCTCTTGATACTGTATAGTATGTACAGTATTATTATTATATATATCTGAAACAAGCAAAAAAGGCCATTAGCCAATTTCTAATTTTATCAGCTGAACTTAATCGTGTATTATTACAAGAAACTATAGACATTGTTTTATTAAGAGTTAGCTAATTAATTTGTTTAATAAGATCATTGTTACTTGATGATATCAGAGACTTTTATTTCATTACATTTTGATTAGAGGGTGTTTACTATTTCAACAATTATACAACTTAGAGAAATAAACCTTTAAACTTGATCTACAAATTCTTGAAATTTAAAGATAAAATTTGGACTATTGATAAGCTAAATTATAAAACATTTATCTTCTTATATCTAAAAATGGAAATAAACATTCCTTGTCCAAAGATAAAAAATAATTCAAGTAACCATTATTTTGAGGTTTAGAGTTAGCTTTCAATATATATATCCATTTTGTATAATATCATATTTGAACAAACTTACACTATGTGGAGCCAGAGTAACCTCGCCAACTGGTGTTGGTAGGCAAGAAAAGTCCTTAGGATTTTCCAACCGCGTTTCTTCCTTGTTATTACGGTACAGAATTCCTGGTAAGGGAAAAGCGTCAGATCAAATGAAAAAAGCGGAAGTCTATTTGTATATTTGTTGGCATGCAAGTAGTAGGACTCTTGAAGAATAAGAGTTACCAAAAACATCCATGTTCAGGCAAAATTTCCTTCATAGCTCACTCACACTGCCTGGGGTATGAATGTCTTCCGTATCCCGGCTAGAGCAGAAAAGTGGGATAGGAAACCCCATTTCATTTTTGTATGCCACATAAATTGAAAGTTAAGATAACTAACTATAACTGAGTAATGGCTGTGCCGCTGTGCAGATTTTTGTCAAAATTTGTTTTACAAGTAATATGAAACTGTCAAAGACTTCCAAAACCACTTTCAGCATTGACAAGATTTCAGTGGTGAAACATTCATTTATTATCCCGCGCCGAACGAAGTTAGGGAGAGATATTGACATGGGGTTCGTCCGTCCGATTTCGTTTCCGGAGCATATCTCATAAACCGTTCAAGATATCTTTCTGAAACTTTGCACACATATCAACCTATTACAGTAGTTGTGCCTTTTGCTATTTAGGAATTTCTGTGATTTATATTTTTTTGTGTTTCCATGGAAACAAAAATGACTTAGTTTTTGGTGTACAATTTTGTTTCCGAAGCATATCTCATAAACCGTTCAAGTTATCTTTCTGAAACTTTGCACACACATCAACCTATTACAGTAGTTGTGCCTTTTGCTATTTAGGAATTTCTGGGATATATATTTTTTGTGTTTCCATGGAAACAAATTTGACTTAGTTTTTTGTGTATAATTTTGTTTCCGGAGCATATCTCATAAACCGTTCAAGATATCTTTCTGAAACTTTGCACACACATCAACCTATTACAGTAGTTGTGCCTTTTGCTATTTAGGAATTTCTGAGATTTATATTTTTTGTGTTTCCATGGAAACAAATTTGACTTAGTTTTTGTTGTACAATTTGGTTTCTTCTAGTAAATATCAATCAGTCATTTGTTTTCAGAAATAGAGAGCAATATCTACTAAACAGGGCCACAATATTAGGACCAGTGACACTGTTTGTGAAATCTGATACATTTTTATATTGATTACCAATAGCATAAACAACTTATTTTTCCTTATTTCTTCCAAACAAGTGCAAGGGCGTGGGATGTTGATGACTAGTCATCTTGTTTAGTTTTTGAATGGGGATCATGTCAAGATCACAGACTACATGCAGATAAGAATCACAGACTATGTGCAGACAAGAATCACAGAAATTAAAAAAAATACAATCCCACCCTTTTGTTTGTAAGGGCTCTTTTGAGTTTAATTATTGAATGTCAAGAAAACAAATGGACATCTTAATTCTTTCCCTTTTAAGTTTTTAAAAAGTTTGTTGTCAAAGTGTCTGGATAATAGTAGCACACAACTTTATTACTTTTCTTTCATATTTTTTGTCAAATTATTATTGAGTCTGGATAAGCAAACCCTTTGACTGTTTTCCTTAATTAAAGCATTAATAATAATTGTATGAATGAGTGATGGTTGAAATTAGAGGAAATTTGTGTTAAAAGTCGACAGGAAATAATTTTAGTTTATTAACTTCTTTTAACCTTTCAACTTTATCCAAATTCTTTTGAAATGATCTAGAAACAAATTTCTGTTGCTCTGATGCGAAGTTATTACAGAAAAGATGAAACATATAAAATGTGAGTAAGCCAAGCAAAAGACCATAAAATTAAATTAGGATACAGATATGAAACGCAGAAAAATTGCTGTTTATTTTTGTGATGATGTACACGCATGTTTTGATCATTTTACATTTTAATTGTATTAAAAATATTTAGAAATTCCTTCATTGGCGACACATAAAAATAAAAATATCTTGAATAAGTATATAAATTGGATTTATGCCCTTTTGTTCCCCCAAAAAAACAAAATGCTGTCAAAAATAGATACAAGGTTCAACATGTTCAGATACACAAAATCAGAATTGACAACTATTTTGGTTCAGAAATTCTACAGGTTGTTGCTTGACATTAACATATTGGTAATTGTATTTAAATATAAAAAAAAATTTCTTTCAATATGCGATATAAATGCAGGTATTGAATTTTTGTGCAGTAAAACTACATGTGAATGTATAGAATTTAGAAAGGTTTTGTTAGTGTAGGTATTTATTTATGGTAAAGAAATTTATATACATTCATTAATTCATATCTCAAAGAAAAGTTTTAAGCCAATAATCTCAAAGAGCGAAACTTCCTCCCTGGTGGAGGTTGGGTGTGATCTGTTAGTCAAACAAGGGACAGCGTCGAATTGTTCCTGAAAGTCATATAGTTCAAAAAGGGTAGAGAAACAAATTAGAATCAAATTTTCCAGGTATAACCTTCTTGCTATGTTATTTAAAAAAGAAAAACAAGTTTATCATAATTGATATGATTTTTTATTGAGTTCAAGATTTATGGGGCAAAATATAAATTTTTTATTTGGGATAGGTCACTACATGTAGATGATCTGTAATGTGAATTGACAACCTGTTAAGTTAGCTTTCTATTGTAGCGATTCTTATAAAACATCCTGACTTAGGATGAGAATTATTTGATAAACTCGGGTATTAAATGAGATATTTACCAAGGTGAGAAACTATTTCAAGGTATCACAGGTAAAATATGAGGTGTATAAACTTATATTATTGTTTGTTTGTTGTGAACTTAGTTTGGTTATAGCCAAGGAATTTGTTTTACATTATTGGAGAAACTTTCAACTCTTTATGTCTCAGCTCACAGATATCTTTATGTTTAAATGTTAAATAAAGATTTTCGTATCATAAAGTTCATTGTTATACTTGGTCTTATCACGAAAAGGTAGGTAGAGTATCAGAGTTGAGAGTGTACTGAAACTAAATTATTTATTGATATTAATAATAATCATAATAGATCATAATAAATTCATAATAGATTTATATACTAACTTCTGTTAGGTAACTTAAAACAATCCATAGTAATCTTTTTCCTAAATGTAGCCTAGCTAATTAATTTAAAGAGCTAATTTATGGTCAGAGGAGTAAGCATTATTTATTTTGCCCTTTTGAGTTAAGTTAGTCAGGGAATGAGGGTGTTAGTTAGATTTTTTTTATAAAAGGTACTTTATATTAACTCCATAAATAATCTACCCAGTGACACTAATTAAGTTTTAATTTTGATTTTTGCTTTAATGACTGCATTATTAAGACAGTTTATTAAATCATAATTTATAATGCGCTATAAATATTTAAGCGTGTGCTAGATGTGACTGGGAAAGATTGTGAATATTTTTATTGAAATTTAATATATTTTGTGTTAATAGCAAATTGACTAAGCTAGGTCAAGGAGATTAAATTCCACTCAACTGTTATAGTTATCTTTCACATTTTAGATAATTTATTTCTCTTGGTATTTTAGTTCACTTAATTAATGCAGAATCAGAAAATGACTTGAAATGGCCTATTAAATAGAAATTGGCCTAACACTGTTGCCATGACGATGTCATTTACAAAAGTTACATGTACATATAGATGGGACCACATATATTTTGTGTATGTATCAGATTTTATTCTGTTCAGGATTTTGAACCTCTAACCTCCAACGACAGTAATTGGACCAGGGTAGGAAATGGTGTTTTATTTGATAATTATTTAAATTAATGAATGTATATTTTCATTGTGTGACATGCAGGTTTGGGATTGGTGAAAATTTTGATAGTATGGAGTTTATCATTTTGCTTACCAGCGAGGAAAGTTGGACACTTTGTCATGTGTTAGTATTTTTGTGAGGGCTGAAGTCAGGCATTAGTATATTGGCCAGATTGTGTTTGTTCTTTCTTGGAAAGTTAGTATTTAAGGACATTTGATGTTGGAGATTTTATTGATAGTTTGATTATTAATGATTTCATGATTTATCTGAAGTTAAGTGGTAATAGACTCCTGTGCAAAACATGTGGGGAACCCTGGTGTTTACCATGTTTTGTGGGCCCCCAACCTTTGAATTCTTGGCAGTCTGGTGGATTCTTGGGGTTTGAGCATTTCCTTAATGTAGTTAGCATTTCTTGATTTTGAAGATCTGGGTTTTTTTTCACTGGAAGCAAATGTAGTTTAGAATGAACCGATGTACTGATATGCTCATGTTTGCAGGTTTTGGTTAACAATTCTGCAGCTGAGTTCTGTACATGTCAAAGTTTTTGAATTTGGTAGTCTGATTTTATGTAGAGTAGCACATATTGTGGTAGGCTTAACTGAATCTCTCTGTATTTTTAAATGAGAGGGTGGTTTATTTGACATATTCTCTGGTGGTGATAAAATGTAATTAAGTGTTAAATAATGATAACTGATCCTTACAATATTTTTTTTTATTTTAAATTTTCTTTTTTTTTTCTTCTCATTTCAGAAAATGTTGGGAGCTGAAACAAAGACATTTCAAATGAGGTGATAAATGACTAAAGTTGGTTCTACTGTCCTGGTACACAACCACCAAACAAGTCCTTTTATTATTTAGACCCATAAGATGGGGAAACTTGATGCAATTTTTGCAAAATTAAAAAACAAACAAGCCAATGGAACTGGAAGTCAGATAACGTCAGATGGAACTCCTGAAAGTAACAACAACAAAAAAGAACTTGCTGATTTAAACCATGATATTTCCAGATCTTCTAATGTATCAACATCATCTTCTTCAATTTTATCTGGTTCAAGTCGAAGAAAAAGTCGTAAATCTAAGCCAAGAAACATTGCTGAATTTAAAGGCGGAGAAAAATACGAGAAAGAGGAAATAAGTGAATACGAAATCAACAATCAGAAATGGAACCTAGATTCCCAAAATGGCAGCGATATTGACATAGATGACCAAACAACCATAGCCAGTTCTCGACCTATTACTCCAAATAGTCCAAATTTTTATGATGTATCGTCTGATTATGGCTCCACATTGCAACCAGATTCTCTTGAAAATTCCCAAGATGCAGATAAATTGGTAATAGATGAATCTTTTGACAACGATAATGATAGTATTCCCTTAGATTTGACAGTTTCCAAGGATACCAAAAATAAACAGAATGACCATAACTTAACTGCTGATGATAATTTAGATGCTGCTGATTCTAGAACAACTGCTGATAACCAACCCAATCCTAATTTACATTCCACTCCTGATGCAAAACTACTCAACTCGACCATGAACGAACTGCTGAAGATGTACGGACTGGGTGGTAACCCCACTGAAACCCCAGATAAACTACAGCTAACCAAATACCATGTTGCCCAACTTGCTGCCACAGCAAACCTTGGTTTAATCCCCAAAATACCAGCCAATAACCATGCAGTCCCTCCACCTGTCCTTAATGGACATTTTTCCACTCCAAAGAAAGGACTTTTTTCCAATCCCAGAACACCTCTACTTCTGCAGAATGGAGGTAAGTGTACTTTATTTTTGTTTTTTAATTTCTTAGTTTTAGCATTTACCAGTGCAGCACCAAATAATGTGGATGAAAGAAAAAATCTCTGGTTTGATTCCATTGTAAAATATCATTTAAAATTATCTCAAAAAGCATTTAAAATTATCTCAATTGTCATTTAAATTTTTCTGACACATATCTCCATCAGAAATAAAACTTTTTAATAATCAAATCAAAAAATTTGCTTCTCATAATTATTTGCATAGATAGTTGCATACAAAAAAAAAAAACCTGAAGTGCATAAAATCTTATAGACCAGTTGATACATTTTATCTACATCATGATAAAAATTTATTATCACGGTAATATTATTATTCAAGTGATATATGATAAAATATTTTTTCTCCTGGTCAATTAATGATTTTATTAATACTAACCAGCCAAATAAACGAAAAATAATAAAATTCTTTGTACCCAATTGATTGAACCAAATTAGAGTTAACTGTATATGAGTATGAAATAATGGATAATTACTTATATTGTTGTGTCTTTTATTACTAGATATAGTTTATATATTGGTAGCTTATTATATTATAGGTATCTAATCTAATGCTGTCACTATCAATTATTAGATATTAAACACTAGTTTGTGTAAATTGATTGGTTAGCAGGAGTAATAGCTCGTACACACACATATACCAATATATACCATGGTTTTGAGGCTTTATTGACTGAAGTATAACTGTTTAAACAAAGTCTCATTCAATGCGATCTCTGATCAACTTATAAACCTGTATATTATAGATTGAAAATGTTATTTCTATTCCTTATTATCTAACCTAATCTTTAAATCTACTGCGGTGTGGTTTAGCTAACTGGATGTATATATCATGGATGTCATTCAGAATATGTTCAAGGACTTGACCGGTCTTGATGAACAGTTTTATCTAGGGCTTGCACAATATTTTGCTAATAAGGGGGCTCTACCCTTATTGTACATCTTCTGGGAGGTGGCTCACTCAATAGGGATGACTTAACTGAGATTCCCAGCAGGCCAGAACCCATCACAGTTTATGTTTGTAGGCCTACTGTCTTTTCTTGGTCCTGTTTTCGCAAAATGTAAGATATTTTGAGTCAATACTCAATATCGTTTTATTGGCAATGTTAAATGTTATTATTTTAATGTTAGATGTTAAGTTATTATCTGGATATCCTAATTGTTGTTAGATTCATCAACTGGGATCTTGGGTGGCTAGGTGCTCTAGTGAGTGTATTTTTGATCATATGGTCTGTCATCAAGTCAAGGGTTGCGGTTTTGATCTCAGGCTTAGGGTGTAGAGTCACCAGCTTAACCTCATGGGTTTTCTACAGGTTCTCTATTATCCTCCAAATACTATAGAATTTACTTTTAAAACAAATTATTGAATGAAGATTTACCATGGGAACATTTTTGTCAACATTCTTGAGTTCTCAACATGGAGGTAGCCATTCATGTCATTTTCTTTATATTTCTTTCTGACACATCAAAAAATAACAACATTTTGAAATTTTTATTGATATTTATGGTATTGTAAAACATTATGATAGCACTAAATAATCCTAAAATTGTTAATTTGTCGAAAAGTTTGGGCAGAAAGTTTATAAAAATGTCAGTTTCTGTGATTAAATGTTGATAAATAAATGATTTGTCACAATAATAACATAAAAATGAGTTTTTTAAATAAATATTAATTATGTGGAAGTTTATGTCTGTGTCATAATTTATAATTGTTGCTAAATAAGGAATTGAAAACCTGTGAGGAAAAGACTATTTAAATTAAACTATTAACATGACAAGACCATATAATCAACTCTCGATGCCATGGGATTGGTCCAATTTAAAGTAGTTTAAAAACGGTTCGGTCATTTAATGATTTGATTTAAAAATGGTTGGTGAAGCAAGGCTAAGTCTCGAACAACCAGCGCATTGGTTACAATCAGTGCACACATCTTGTCAAACCTTTAAAGTCTAATATCTTTGCTCAGAATAAAGTAATTTGAATGAAATTTTCAATATATTCATTTTGCATTATCAATTCTAACTCTTACATAATGATTCTTTAAAGTAATTTGTCTTTAGTTAGAATTAAGTAAATTAGACCCGCAATAAATAGCAGTAAACTCAATTTTGGATTGTAAAACTGTAGGCAACTTATTGGATAAATATTCTTAATTAAAAAAAAATAAAAGTTTCCAAAAATATTTTGTCAGAGACAATTGTAGCATAATTATTACATTTGAAGATTAAAATAGGAAAATTTTACATTTTGATGGAGGATTGTTGGCAGTCGAAATGTAATTTATTTAACATCAACAAATATTGGTTTGCCATTCTGAAGAAAAATATCGAGGGTTTACTGAAACTTGGCTTTTGTACTTTGTAATTATTTTCACGTTGCAGAAATATCATACAAATTAAATCTACAGAAATTTTTTTTTTTCTCAGACAAGAGTTTATCAAAGTCAAAGACAACCTGTGTAATTTTCACTTTGTTCTATTTTATTTTAGAATTCCACAAGGAATTCTGCTTATGTTTAACAACATATCATGGCTTTGTTTGTCAATTTGCATTTTATTTGGGGATTTCCTCAACATATTTGCTGTGGAGTTGAAAATTTGACGAAAAGCCTCATAATTTGGTCTGTACATATACGTCTGTATCAGCCGTTGTTTGTTTTCAGATTGTCTTAATAAATAACGGACCAACATGCCGTGACACATGAAAGATTTCTATTAAAATATTGTTTTAATCATTTCATACTATTTCTCTTTGTCTTTCATCTGTAGTTTGTCTCTGAGAATGCAAGTTCCCCGAACTTCTAACGTTGATTATCAATATTAATGAGTCAAAAAAAAGGGGCAGACTTCTCTTTACACAGAATAACAGACAGATTAAACAGAATAGTATAGACATATTGTCTACAATACCTGCACAGCCATTACATAATGTAAAACAAAGCAGTTTTTCTTGTCTTGCTCTGAGTTTTCGTAAAACTATCCTTGTAGGATTAGCACTGCACATAATTTTTCTTTGATTATTATTTAGTAGACTGTTTTCTATTTGTCTGAATATTGAAAATATTTCCGTTATCAAGATCAACGAATGGGGATTTAGAGATTATTTCGCAAACAAGACTTGCTTTCTATGCATAGATCTTCATTAGCCTGGCTGGTGCAAAAAAGTACAAGGTTAAACCCAATTCCATTTCTATGTGTGACATTTCAAGATAATCATCTTAAAAGTGACTGCTGACAGAATGTGATCAGATTCTATTTGGAACTACTACACCTATTATCATCCAATCATCAAATTCTCGCGTTATATTGAAGGCACACACTTCCATTCATGTCCATTCCAGAAATATTGAGATTTTTGTTACCTTTGCAAAAAAATATTTCAGATAAAAATTATTAGTTCTGGTTAAGATACAGAAAATTTAGAGAGAGGTTGCCTTTAATATTAATTTTACACTTTACAGAAATTGACTGGCTTTATTATAAAAGTTAAAAGGCCAGTAGGGGTGTGGGAAGGGAATTGAAAGAGAATATTGCATCAACTGTGTGCAGCCAGTAACTTTCTTTACTTAGATTTATGTACATAAAAACTTGATGAAATCACCAATAAATAACAATAATTTCCTTAAATTGTCACTTGAGAAAATGAAGAAATTATATATTTATAAGGGGATTAGAAGAGTTTTCCAGATAACCATGGTAACAATTATAACAAACCACAGAATGTTTTGTTCCGTCCAAAACAATAAACACTGACAATTTTCTAAAAGACTTTTACATTATAACTGCCTAAATTGATTTTATAATAAAGAAGTTTACTTATATTTATAAATTTTATTTTAATTATTTAGCTTTGAATTGTCTTTTACTTTGTGTTATAGTGACTGACGTAAAACAATAGTCTGAAGGTTTTGAGATTCAATCTGTTTTATGCAGTTCCATGATCCATCCCTGCATGTCAAATATCGAACTGTGAAAATTTTGATATTTAGATTAAATAGTTGCCAAGATGAGTCGATTGGAAATTATTTGGAAATAAGTAACTTTGTCTTTAAGGATTTTGTCTTTAAAAGTATTAACATTTTTTCCTCAAGGTTATAAACCTCTTTGATATATAGTATAGACAGTTCAAAAATCCCAGAATTAGACAATAGAATATGGGATAGAAAAAAAATGTTGATTTAATTATATGATAGTTCGTTTCTTTTTTAGATAGATATCTCAAATTAGATATATTTTCAAATTATGGAAATAGAAATGTACCTTTAATCCAAAATAAAACAGGTTTGTGTTAAGTTGACATTAAAACCCCATTTCTCCCTCTATGTATTTTGTGTGAAATTAATGGAATGACAAGAAATTGACGGATTGTTTGATCGATCAATTGATGCTGGTAGTTTAGAAAAAAGAATAAAGGGAATTTGATTGCGGTTTGTAGTTGATGGAATAAAATGGTGATATGTCAGATTTATGTCAAATAGCAGAAAACATCAGCCCTAAAATCTCCTCTTATTTCATTGTTGGTTGCCTTAATCTGCAACAATACCTTGTTACCATAACAACCAGGTAAACATGTTCTTTATTTCCAATAAACTGGTTAAAAACGGAGCCTCGTTGGGAATATCTGATGTCTAATCTGTGTAATTCCCAACTTTTTTTGTGGCCCTCATCGGAATTGTTAGATAGAATTATTTGATCTTTTCATCTGATTAAATGCAAAATTGATTATTAAAGATAACAATAATAACGAATCTTGTGTCATTTTCCCCACTCAATTTTGGGACATTTTGCTATGTTTAGGATTATTGATAGCGTTTGATGTGTTAGGTAACCTAGGTAACTATAAGCAGATCAGATTGATATCTACGTCAAGTCATTCTTGACAAGAAGAATAAAAGGTAATTTCTTTTATCGTTGTCAATCAAGCATAACCCCCTCGATCAATCGCCATTTGTTGTCTTGT